AACAAGAGTAAAATCGAAATATGCACTCAAAAGATGTTTTATTTTCGATTCTTCATTTGCAGCGTGATCATAACATTCATCCATTTTACTTATACTATTAAAAAACATATACTATATGGTAGAGAAGTAAAAGGTAAAATTTTTTAAAAAATCCTAAATCAACGAATATTACAAGAAATATCATTAAGATACAGAGCGGTTCACTGCTCCTAAAATAGTCGTTTATTTTTTCTATTTTTCCTTTTTATTTCGCTTTAGCTGCATATTTTTTTTGCTATTACTATTGAAGCTTCATCGATAATTTTTAAAAAAATGACATTTTTCTTCTTAGAGAACATCTGAGGAATGAATACCACTCGTTTAAAAAAATAAAATAAACGTCTTGTTTGAATATTAATTTTGTAGTATCATTCACTTTTGAACATCCATAATCATAAGGATCCAGTAGTCTTAAAATGTATTGTCTGGTGAAGTTAATTCTGTATCTCATTGAACATTGATAATCATCCTACTTTGAAATCATTTTTTATGATAGGTAATTTTGTTTGTGATTTACAATACTCTTGTCACATTCTGAACTTTCCGCAAGAAAAAAATGTACCCATCAGCTTGGACGTCAATCAGATATAATCATATACTGTTCTCAAACTTTCACCTCAGTCAATATTTTAATTTCTTTTATTTATATATTACAGCCCGTTGTATGTGCTATTGATGTTGCTCTCCAAGCGCAATCAACCATATGATGCATGTTTCTTTTTGTGTTTTTGCTTTTTTACCACGATTAATCACCATTACCTATGCATTTTCATTTCATTTATCTCACTAAGCTTCACAGTATATAAAGCCGCAGAATTGTGCAGCCAAACCACAATCAACTTCTCGTCAATACACAGAGGTGAATTATTCTTTGTACGTATATATATTTGATCAAATATTATCCTTTACGATATTTTGTTAGAGTATTCAAAGTCTCACTTCATCTCAATTAGTATTAAAACACTTTCATCAATAATCATGGTGAGTTTATTGTCTTTTTATATTGATTCTTATTTCTAATTTTTCATTTACGTAGGTCTTTCAATCTCCTTATTATTCATCATATGGAACAGCAACATCAAGTTGTCCAGGTTGTGCATTTTCTCAACCATCAATGGTTTCTCAACCACTCTTTTATCCACAACCAGTTTATTATCCAGGCACTTACTAATCAATGTTCAACGTTTTTATTGTTCGAACTAATGCAGTAGGATATTAGGATATTTCAAATAAGCATTATTCATGAATGTGGCCAGAAGTTTTTTTTTTGTTTATTTTTTTAAATAAAAACTAAAAAGAAACCTAAAGATTAATCTTATTTATGCATTATTGGTTTTCATATAATGGATACATTTCACCTGAAATCAAAATAGAAAAAGAGACGATATCGTTCGTGTTTGATAACGATAGTTAAATGAAAGATTGAAATAAAATGTAATGAGTGTTATCCATAAATAACCTTCTGACCATCTACATGCAAAAAATAGGGCCCATATAGTAGATTATTTATTGATAAGATCAATGTCTTTTCTTTCATGTCTCTTTCTCAATTGTCTTTCTAACGTAGAAAGTGCTCGCTTATCATATGTTCTACTCCTTCTGCATTTTGATCTTTCCATTTCTTTGATGCTTGTGTCCTTTTATCTATTTTTAAGACAACATTACTAGTAAAAACAAAATGAAAAAATTACATTAATGATTATTTTTCATGATCATCGCAATCAAGAATAAAAAGCCGATGTTGTGTAATGTGCTCGAAAGACACTGTTTGAATGCGGTTAGGCGCGTTTCTTCTGGTTGATTTTTTTCATATATCGCTGCATCAGTATTTTTAAACATTCAGAAAAATGTTAAATTTCAGTACAAGCCGTACTCCTCTAGTAATGGCAGTGTGTACATGATGCTCATATCATCCACATTGGTTATTTTTATTTAAGTTTTGACTTTGATTATTTATTAGAGATAAGCACATTCAAATTTACTTTTCTAAGTAGCAATTGATCTCTTCAAAACAGAAACTATTAATTTAGTTGAAAAATTATAAGGTGACTTGATAACAAGGCAGTAAACTATTCAGATTACTAATTTCAATGAAACATCGGCGACATGGGAACATAGGCAGTGTCCCAACTGAAACCATTTACGTTCTTCATCAATTCCTCTCATACTAATTGATCCCGAATTCATGCCATTAAAATCCACAGAAACAATAACATTTCTGAATTCATCCGTGCACATTCATTTCCTTTACATTTGTCTCTAACTAATTACAGTTAGTATTTCATTATCTGCTTAATTGTTCTATAAAAATATAGAATATCCACGTGCAGGTATAGGTGTATAGAAGATCTGTCAACCCATTCACTGCTGCAACTTCACCAACACACACACTGGTACATGCACGCTTGAGTTTCATCTTAAACAATATGCAGATGATAATCGTATTAGTATGAAACTTGTTTTCAAGTGTGGGCAATATATGAAAATAATACATACTATTAAGTAATCATTTTTTGTTCATTATATTTTCTTGTATACCATTGATCATATTTCTTTCAATAGAGTAAATATTGTATTATGATCTCATCAGAAATTAGTTAAGAAGAAAAATAAGGGGACAAAGCCGGTACTTTTGTTTTTGCGTTTTCACTATTGACCGAACGAGTTTTTAGCAACTAAAAAATAAAAGTTCGTTGAAAATGGAATTCATCAATATTAAATAGTAGAGTTTATCAAAGCTCTTCAATGTCAAATTCAGGACATTTTTACAATTTAACGTCTTGTCAGTATAGAAGAATTCCTGTCAGGAGGCAATTCAAACTAGATGCGATTAAAAATGATGAATATAAATCGTAATCAGTATTATGATCATGAGCATACTTTATCACACGTAGACGAATTAGATACGAGCATAAAAGAGTTGCAAATAAATTAATGCTAGGTTTTATGTTTTGTTTTAGATTTCGTTTGTGATGACGGTTATGTTCTATCTATAATAGGATTTTTTACATTCATTTCTTATTATGGTTCCAGTATTTCAAGGTCAGGTGTCCGTTAGTCATAAATGATGTTTTTGAGATAAAAAGTGTGGAGAAAAAGCATAAATGTGAAGAATTTTATAAAGTGTTAATAGGCATCCTATAACTTCTTGGTACATATTTCATTGGTTGAAATTTGAGATTTTCTTTTTTCGCTTTTTTGATCATTTTTCCTAAATTTATGATGCAAGAGTCATCATTTGTGACTACTTAACTGTATATTTAGGCTCATCATTCTCCACATTTATAATTTCTGTTATGATACACAAAGTTTTATGACAATTTGTTGCATATAATACCATGTTCTCAGTAGCAGGACAATAAATGTAGAAAGGTATATCAAGAATATTGAGTTTTCTCTAGTTGGGCATTGCTGTAGATAATCTGTTTTATGCTGACATCGTCTGTGCTGGCGCTAAGACTGTTGTTCTGTGGTTTCATGGGTGTGGGTGTAGGCGTGAGTCTCCATGCAGAGATGCTGACACCCACACCCTTCAACCAATTCGACACTCACATCCACACTTTGAGTGCTGGAACCATAGACGTAGTCAATGGAGACGCTCTCTACTTCCGCCACTTTCTACGTAGTTCCAAGTAAGCTCTTTCTCTTGCATAATGAGCAGAAAAATATGTGTCATAAAAAGCGAGATAAGTTTTAGTATCATTTATTTCATTATCTTTTATATTTCGCTCAGACATTCGCTTAGTAAAGATGGTGCAAGAATGCACTCACTTATATATATAAGGTAAATAGCCTACTCTCTTTTTATATTTCTATAGCAGTAAAAAGAACAAAAAATGAATACAGCCAAGGCGTAGTCTTCTGGATATGTAATTGAATTTAATCGAGGTAGTGGTTTTGATTTTATTCAAGAAGATACAACAAAACGATTTTTATTAGTCCAGTTGAATAGTTTCAAACAGCGTTCAAAAAGATACTTAACAAATGATAATAAATATATTGGTGAACTATTTGATTTTGATATTATTGTTAAATAGAAGAGTGATGATGATGACATTGATACATTCGAAGCAGTAAGTGTTAGACATCGTGTACTGAAATGTAACGTTGAAGGATGTCCACGAATTAAAGCATTTACAAGTATGAAAGCACTGGAAGATCATATAAATATCAGACACACTTCAAAGAAGAAAACAGAAGAAACATCTCACTCTTCTTTAATTTTAGCTAAAAAGTCAAAGAAAAAACGTCGTCCACACCCTGAACCAATCGTAATTAGCCTATCATCTCACACAACAGCAGCTACTATTGGTCGATTCATTGGTAAACAGGGTGTTAATCTCAAACGAATTCAGCAACAGAATCAAGTCAAACTTCAGGAGGCGTGGGTGTGGATGCCGTTGAGAAGAAGACCAACATTCGACATCCACGCTCACGCTCACACTCCCACCCATACCTACATCCACAGCGAATCTTATTATGGAAAAATCGTTTTGCACTGAATGCTTTTCTCTAAATGGTCTTTGAGCAACCACACAACAGAGAAGTCATTTTAGCACAGAAGCACATGCATTTGTTGAGATATACAATGTGTTTTCTGTTAAAAACTTTTACACCCTGCTTTTTAGGAGGTTTATACAAACTGAATAAATTTAGTTGCCAGTGTATTAATAGAAATCTGTTAGCGATGTGTTTTAAAAGTTGAAATCATGCTTTATCTGATAAGAAAAAGAATTAGCTTTCTATCGCCTTCTGTTCAAAATCAACAGAATGTAACACTGTCCCAAGAACTTTTACATTAACTGTCAATATGTTGTAATCATTGGTTACACGGTGTTTTCGCGCGCGACACATCCGCGAAAACATGTTTTTTTTGTTTTTTCTGTGTTAAGTTAATAGATTTGCTAAAGTTTCACTAACTGTCCTGTGGGTATGGTTGTAGAGTTTCGATGTGGAAGTTGGAATGGAATGAAGGCAGCAGAAACTCTACTGCCCACAACCACACTCAAATGCCCAAAACCACTCCGAAACCCACACTCAGTTTTCAGGCACCTTGAACCCGATATGGGTTCCTACTTCTAGGAAATCGAAATTCGGCGCGATTTTCCATTCCTAGGAACCCATAAATTCATAGAGACTTGACTTGAATTGAAAGAATAGGTATGAGTAAGAACTTCAACATAGTCATAAATGCGTGGAAACGAATTTTCAAGTAGGTTCTCATTCCTTAAGAACGGAACTCAAAGGAATGGGAACTTTGACATCCCTAGCCCACATTCAAATCCACTCCAAAAGTCAAATTCACACACATACCCGAAAAGGTAAAAAGAGTGTTTATGAATACGATTATAAATAGTCATCAGGAATCTTGAGGATGTGGGTGCGTGGATGTCTATATTCTCTCAATAAACATCCACATACAAACTTAGCTTGTCATGTTTTGTAAACAATTGTGTAGTGTTCAACGTTTAAAATAATAATCTACGACTGGTTTTCAGATACTTTTTATTTCGACGAATATGACATCGAAATGCTTTCATTTATGCAAGATTTTAATTATTTATTCAAACTAATGCCAGCTCTGCGAAAAAACAGAAAGTTCCGTTCTGTCACTGTATGAGCTCACACGATGCCTCTCAAAGTTTTGATCTGCGAAATAAAAGAGAAGGCGAAAACAAAATCATCAGCAACAAGTGACAATGAAAAATGCCAAAGTGCGTCAACCTCTTGCTATGAATGTGAAAATTATAAACAGCAAGCAATTGTGCAGTTTAAATGGACATACAAGCTTATGCAGCATAAAAACGAGCTAATTTATTAACACAAAGCACAGATATATTCACTGATGTGTCAGGTTGTCAAAAGAATACAGGCAAACGAGGCTGAGCTTTTGACGTGAAATATATCTTTCGTATCAACGTATAAAGCGTGCACATTTGCCATGACTGACTCTTTTGTACTTGATTCCATCATTGTCTTCGCCTAAAAAAATTAGTTTAACGACAACAGATGTGAATAAGTGCATAGATCTTCTCTTTTACCAGGTTGATACGCATCCCCACAATCACACATCCTCACCCAAGAGCTGTGATAGGCTTTCTAAAACTAATATTTAGGACAGATTTGTTATTTATGTGGAAGATTTATCGCAATTTATTTTACAGAAAATTTATTGGCTTCGAAACTACATCAAATTCAAAATGCTGGCTCATTACGTTAGAAAACTATTCATCGTTCTTGAAAGCTCCAATTTCGGCTAACTTTCATTTGATTAGGCGATGGATGATAGGCAGTGCGAAGTCGAATGAGACTCTGTCTATGATCATTTCACGAAAAATCAAACAGATTTTTTTTCCATAAATTAAGAGAGATCGGGAATAGAATAAGAATATTAGGTAATAACAACTTAAAATATACTTAAGTCACTAATAGCAGTGTATCTTATAATTAATATTCCAAATGTACTCAAGAAGTGTCATAGTGTCGTTAAAATACTTCTTAGTTACTTGGCAATCCATAGTTCAGCATAGCCACAAGATTCTTTCACAGAATATGTACATGAAGATGGTAAATGATGTTGCAACCATATGTCAAGACTTTCTTCATCTGAAGACAGAGATAAATTTTTTTTCTGTCTATCATATTCATTTGTACAGCATAAAGATCGAAGATTCGACATTGAATTAATAAGTTCAATAATATTGGATCGATTTTGGACTACAAGTGAAAGTACTTCACATTGACGTCCCAATGGTGATCTGGCTAATATAGAGCATTCTTCACTGTTGAAACAAATATTGTCTATATCTTCTAAGGAAAGTCGACGAATCGATGTACTAGTGATCGAAAATTGTGCCAATCGTAAAGCTGTCACTCCGTCAATCGCCAACAAATAGAGACTAGGAGCTCGAATGAATAAAGCTTTTAATTCTGAGACAGCACTTTCTTCTTCTTTTTCTTGTACAAAAACTGTTAATGAAGTCAAATGATCTAGTGTTGGAATCATGGACCAAATATCTGTATGCATTGGAAGATTTATTTCAAGATACGTGAGACCAGGAAAACGAATAGGAGGTAAGGAGAAATTTTGGATTTCGTTGCCAATTTTCATGAAACGTACACAATCATATGAGCAATAATCTCGATCATCCTGACATGTTGATGCGAATTCGATCGGTTCACAAAGATCATTGAATTCGTCAAAAACAAATGGCAATGTGTAAAGTGAAATATATGCATCCGTACTTTGTGGATACCATTGACATCGAACAAACCATCGATGTTCTTTAATCCAAAAAGCAGTTCGAAATGTATCTAATAATTGACGAATTCGTTTTTGTCTTCTTTTTTTATTCAAATATTCGAATGTCATTCGAAATCGAAGTATTTTGATTTGAGGAAGATAATCATTGATAATCTGTTGCCATTCATGTCCATTCAGGTAAAAACTTTTTATATGGATCGTTAAATGATACAAATTAGGCATAGTTTGGAACAAGTTCATCATGGCATCCTTGGAAGAAGATATTTGCATGTTCAATTTCCCTATTTGTGACGTTAACTTTTCTGATGACTTAAAATCAGATTCATGACTGAATGCAGCCTGTAGACTTCGAAGATTAGGTGTACTTTTGTATATGTGAAAGAGTTCATCTGAAGTCATTGAATAGCAGATGACGGAAACATATTCCAGAGACAATGAGACAGTATTGAGTTTACCAAATATACTGTCAAAAACCAGAAAAAGTTGTAATTTGCAATGTGTCAACTGAGGAAGATACCAGATATGATTGATTAAATGAATATAATCATCTTCATTGGATACAGTGAATGGACTCAACCTAAGATGAGTAAGAGAGTTAGGAAAAGAATATTTTATGGGCATATTGTGTAGTTTATGTATGAAACTGTCGAAAAGCAATGAAAATGATCTTAAACAACTAAATTGATCGATTGTAAAGCCATAGGAAAGAAAATGTTCAAATTGATTCGGAGCTTCCTCATCTTCTGATAGATGAAGCGAAGTAACTCGGTCGATGATTTGTGGTAAATGTTGTTGACAAACTACGTCGAAATCCCGTTTAGATACAGTTCGAAAATCGAGATGATAGTTTCGAAAATAAACGTATAGAAGTGTATCGAAACGAATATTGAGACCATGAAAAGCACGAAGAAGATGAATACCGTCAAGAAATTCAAATAGTTGTAACAAAAATTCATTCGGTAATACTTCCAACTTCATTTTAAGTCATTACTGTTATAATATAATGGCTGACATGTTTATTTTCTTTCTTTCGTTCTCTATGCCAAAACAGTGAAACAAATATTTCTGTTTTTTTTTGCTTTCATGATGAGGGCAAACAGAAGTGATTCATTATAAGAATGGAAAAAAAATACGATTGGTACGATTGAGAAATATTCGAAAAAAATCGAACCCTTTCGATTATTCATCAACAACGTATGGTTTTTTTAAGTCATTCAGTGTGGGCGTGAAAGTGTACGCCTGGATGTAGGTCTGGTATTGATATATGAGTAGGAATGGGTGTGTGGGTCGTCGTATAAAAGAAGCGTAAATTAGAATGTGAAGTGTGAAATGATGTCTATACGTATCTGCTTTTTTTAAATTTCTTTCAAAAATATTATTCTGATCTTTTTTGGTAGTGTGACAGACTGAGAGAGTGTCGCCTATAGTCATCAGCATAATGTTGTATTTTGTCATCTGAGATCTCTATTTATGCCTTTCCTTCGTTTAATTCGCATTATATAGAAGAGAATGATCATGCGTGAGTGAACAGAAATAAAGAGGAAAAGGTCAGGCAATGGAACAATGAGAATTACTCATAAGATCAAAGCATGAACACATGAATATAGCGAAGAGGATAGGATGGGTATAAGTTGTAGTTGGAGTGACAATCTACAACCATACCCTTATTCCCAATACATTCGTTTGCATTGTCTTTGCTTTTATTCCGCATATTTATAAATAAATGACCGTGCTTCATTTGTTCTGTTATTTGGTTTTTGTTCGTTAGATAGTTTCGTTTCTCTTTCTCTCTTTTCTATTGTTTTCAGTGTTCTCTATGTCGTGTCAAGTGTTCTACGAATAAATTGAACTCACTCACACTACCAAAAGAATCTACATCAAAGACATCGAATAACCTGGCGATTGAAATCTAAATAGAATTTTTATTACGCATCCTCGGAACTCAATATATCTGCTTCAGTTTGCAATTTTATTGTTTCGTACTTAAGAGCATATATGTTCAATCCTTCATCATTCTTTTCTAAACACCATTTATGAGTAGTCTTGTATGTTAAACAGCTTAATTTATCTCAGCTATGTAATAAATCAACGAAAAAAAAAGACACGAACTATGAAGAAAACGAATAATGAGAGTGTGAGAACGTGAGTATTGTTGTCAATATTCTCTTCATTCCCATCAATATACATGTCATACTTTCACGCACACCAAAAGTGGATGTGGATGTGGCTATGGCTGTAGCTTCACATGAATATTCATACTCATGCTCGAAATAGGTTGGTTTTCTTATTAGTAATAGAAAGTATGATAATCAATATCCACTACTCAGATCGAAAAATCTGACCTCAATTTGTATCATAAGATCCTCGAAAGATCTTACTATTGCATAAGATTTTCTATAATCTTATAGTCATACCTTACAATACAGTAAGATTTTTCAAGAATCTTATAGTACGAATTAATGTCAGATTTCTAAGACTATGACCTTTTGCCTGATCTTACAAGATCTGTTGTAGAATCTTGTCAGATCTTAGTATCTGATTGTTTATTCTGAGTAAAGAAAATACATGTTGTACAACCTATGCATAATTTTCAAAGCTCATATATGGTAATACTAAGGAAAGTCAACACATTTTCTAAATGATAACAGGTTGATTCATTTAGAACAAAGTTTCAGAGCTAATCATTGCGAGTATTTGAATTCATGTTCATCAATTTAAAGACATAATCGAGCCCTGCAAATACTAATTATCACCACCATGGAAACACTATATTCTAATCATTGATTTTTAAAGTAACTATATAGTTCGAAATGTTTTCTCTACTTTGGATAAAACTTTATTAGCAAGTGAACAAGACCAACACGTTTATTTTAACCGATATGCAGCTATTCTACTTTTTTTATCGTACAATTGTTCATAATTTATTCTGTCTCCTCGTCCGCCAAAAGATTTATCAGATTCAAACCACAATAATAGATGTTATTTCATTTCTTTTTAAAGCAGATACGAATAATTCTTTTTATCCTCATTTATAGTGGTCAGACGAACGTTGATTTTTGAAATATATAATAGCATTTTGACTATAACATCTAGAATTTAAGTACAGAATCCATATAAAGCAGGTAACTTATTGTGTGCATTTGATCTTTCGTTCTCATCCATTATTCGAAACTAGACAAAGATATAAGTTCAAATTAATACAATGAGTTTCTTATTATATATATTTGATAGCCAAAATATGGATGATGTAGTCAAAATTCTAATAGATATCTAAAAAACATCGCTTTCGTTTGAACACTCTCAAAGAGAATAAAAGCAACGAATATTAGTTTTTGTCTGTTTGAAAAAAAAAGAAATAAGATTCCATGTATAGATTCGTATTATGCTAAGCTAACTATACAAATATATATTACGAATTATATGGTAATAGAGTATAATTAAAATATGTAGTTTGAATTTAAAATTTTTTTTTTATTGCCCGAAGAATTTAGATTAGAAGTTATAAAGTCCAACAAGATTTTTGACAATATTCATTCATTATTGATTCCTGTTTTTTAATAAAATATTTATCCTTTTGACATTGAATGTGTAGATTCCTGTACAAAGTTGCAAATAATTAAATGTCGAACTGATTATAATGGAATAATCATTCGATCCAAACTAGTCTATTATTTTCGCATTACTATAGTAAAGGACGGGGGCGCATAAGACCGTAATTTGGCCCATTGGACTTTTCATACTATATCCAGCACAATCATATATAGGATGAAAGAGCTTCAACTGG